TTGTATCATAGAGAGGGCCTCACCTGTCACTCCCCTTCCTATTTTCTGGTTACTGTCACCGAGAGGCCAACATCCTGCCACAACGTTCGGTGGCCACAAAGAATCCTTGCAATCTTTATTGTTATTTAAGTATTTTTCAAAAAGATGGTGAAGAATCACCTCTTCCTGGCACCCCGGCTAGAAGTGATACACCTTCAAGCAGAGGAGATGTGGCTCCGACCTAAGGAGGCGACAAATCCCCTACCCTGCCACAGCAAGGAAAGCAGAGTTATTCAAACTCCTCCATACATCAACGGACAACACGGAGACAGGGGAAGGCCCAGCAACACCAACTCAGGTGACACCCAGGCCATGCAAGCCTCACTCATAAACTCATGAGCCAAAAAATTTACGACAGACTGGCAATCTCGAGTCGGTCACAGCCCTCACAAGGCTGGGCCTCACGCTACTGTACAACCAGCACCAACCGAAACTCGGTTACCTGGTACAATCAATTCTTGGTACAAGACGTTAACCCTGCACATATGATCCCGGCACATTGGGGAAACAAGGCATATGTATGTATGATGATGTATCTATGATGGTCAGACCCAGGGATTCTAGGTAAATCGGGAACTGACCATCCCTTGGTTGTGTTGGCATTTGGAATATGTAGAGATGCTTATTTGTGCAGGTACCCATACAGAAGGGATTTTCTCCCAAACAAACGGACGAGCAATCTCAGGCTCCAGGTACCAGCACCTCTGAACTACCAGAGACAATTGGTATTAGTAGTTGCATTGCATATAGACTGTTGCATATATGTTCAAAACATTCAGGGCACATGACAAACCATGTGTCCCAATACAACTTACAAATAAAGTACTCACCATCTGTACACACCAATGCATTTTCTTTTTTTTTATCAATTTCTTTTTATTATGATGAAGAGGTTTAAGAATACACAATGCAGTAAAAAGGCACAGTAAAGTTCCATACAAAACAGTGGTATTACAATGCAGTGCACGACATCTCTAGACAATTATTAGCCTAATTTTTTCTTTTTTTGTATAGAAAACACCATTGCAGGAATATGGGGAAATGAGAGACATAATTCAGGGGCATGAGATTATCACAAAATTTTGCTTTAGGGCCCTCGCTCATTATATCATAAGAGATTACGCATACAGCTTTACACATACTTGTCCACTAACATGTAACGTCTCAACATATCACCGTACGTGCGGACTGCACATAAGAGTGCTAGGGTTCGTGTCGTAGTAGTGTGTGTCACTGGGTGTAGAGGTAGAAAAGAGTAACAAGAGGGGGAGGAGGGGGAGAGTGGGAAGAAGAGGGAGGGCATGATTTTCTAGAGTTGCACCAAGCATACATCATTAGGGCACGTTAAAATAGAGTAGTGTGTCCCCTTGAAATGTACAACACCCTGCCTGACGTATAGCGAGCTCAGTGTCGCTTAGCTATGTGAGCTCGGAGGGTGACCTCCGTCGTCGCTCGGGTGTGTGTGTTGGGGTCCAACAAATCATCAAACCATCCAGTGGCGATTGTTTAGAGATGTGACCAAGAGAGGGGGGAAATGAAGAGGTAGCAGAGGTGTGTCCATTGTACTGAGGGCGTGGGTGGAGGGTTATGATGTTGGGAAGTGCACATTGGCCTTGCCCCGGGAAGCCCGGTGCCCCCACGTGTGTCGCCAGGTCACCGTCCTAGCTCCGCGCGTTTTGTGTTATGAAGGTAAACCATGGAAACCACCATTCGGCGTGTTTACCCCCTCTGTCCTGTAGGGATGCCTGTAGTGCTTCAGTCCCTTGGATATCCTCAACCCTGCGAATCCAATGTTCTTCGTTGGGTATCTCCGTCCGTTTCCAGTATAACGGGATGAGTGACTTGGCCGCGTTCAAAAGATGTCTGAGGATTGATTTCTTATAGGAGGATAACGACATCTGTGATATATGTAGGAGGGCCAGAGCGGCTGACCATTCCGTCATGTCGCCCAGTATGTCTGTTATTCGTTGTCTGATCAGATCCCAGAATGGGGTTATTTTGCTGCATTCCCACCATATATGCATCATCGTCCCTCTACCCCTCTGGCATCTCCAGCATGTAGAAGCAACGGTTGGGAAGATCCTGTGTAGGAGAACCGGGGTCCTGTACCATGAGGCAATCAGTTTGTAGTTCATTTCTTGATATTGAGAGCTGACCGAGCTCTTGTGTTGCCACAGAAGTGCCTTATCCTATTGTTGTGGTGTGAAGGTTGTGTCCATCCGCTCCTCCCATTGCCTGCGGAACATTGCATTCGCCGTCAGATGCCCAGTCAGTATTTGTTGATAAAGTATACAGATAGCATTATCCAGTACGATCTTCCTCTCGCAGCAGTCCTCAAACCATGTGCGTTCCCTATGTAATCGTTCCTTGTCCCGCAAATTATTGTGGTAGTGCTTCACCTGTAAGTAACAGAGTATTGCCAATGGCGTCCGGGGTCGTCCCTCTAATAGGGCGTCTATGGAACGCAGTGATCCATTCTGTAGGGTTGTGTGGATTGGTATGTAGTCACGTCCTTCCAAAAAAGGCCACATCGCTGGTGGAAATCCACCCCCTATCTCTTTATGAGTGATGGAAAGCATTGGACTAGGTGTAGGCGAGATATGGGTTACCTCTCTCATGGAGTTCCAGGTGTATAGCGTTTGTTCCAGTAGTCCCTCCTTAGTAATTCGTAGTGCTTTTCTAGTTCCCCCTCCCCAGATGGCTGGTTGCACAGGGGTGTCAGGGTTGTCCCGTGTCAGTGTCACCCATTGCTTTTGTTGAGGTTCTGCGTGCCACTCAATTATACGCTGCAGGACCATGGCTTGGTGATATTTCCTGAAGTCGGGCAACGCTAGTCCACCACGATGCCTGGGGAGACAGAGTAGGTTATATCGTAATCTCGCCCTCTCCCCTCGCCATACGTACCGTATGACTGCAGATTTTAAAGCGTAGAAGAAGGTGGTCGGTAGGGCCAGTGGGATTGTTTGGAATGGATAAAGCAGCCGCGGTAGGATGTTCATCTTTAGAACTGCTACCCGCCCATGCCACGAGATGTGCGGGTCCGCCCATCTTTTCAAGTCCACTGTTACTTTCTGCAGGAGGGGAGCAAAGTTGTGTCGGTATAGATCATTAGGGTTTGGGGTTATCCAGATCCCAAGATATTTAATTTTTTGAAAGCACCACTGGAATGGAAACAATGATTCCAGAGCCGCGTATTCACCCTCGGGCATTGACACATTTAGCACTTCGCGTTTTGATAAATTGAGCTTGAAACCTGAAATCGAGCCAAATGTCTGAAATTCCGACAGCAGGCAATGCATCGCAATTCGAGGGTTTGTTATGTAAAATAAGAGATCGTCCGCATATGCGGCTACCTAATGTGTTGTGCCCAGCCACGTGAAGCCACTGATGTCTGGCTGCTGGCGTATCCTCTGAAGCAAGGGTTCCAACGAGATAGCAAAGAGTAACGGGGACAGGGGGCATCCTTGCCTCGTACCATTGGATATCTCGAAATCTCCAGTGAGTGCGCCGTTGACTCGCACCGCTGCCCGTGGTTTATCGTACAGAGCCCGAATCATCGTGAGGAATCGGTGTCCCAGTCCCATCTTGCCAAGGGTGGCGAACATATATGGCCATTTCACACGATCAAACGCCTTCTCAGCATCTGTGGAAATCAGGAGAAGGGGTTACTGCGTTTTCCTCGCCTGATGTTGTATCGCGAAAAGCCGAAGCATACTGTCCCTCGCCTCCCGACCTGGAATGAATCCCATTTGATCCTTGTGTATGAGGGCAGGAAGGATGGATTGGAGCCTGGTAGCTAGTACTTTTGTAAAAAGTTTGGTGTCAACGTTCAGCAACGAGATCGGACGATAGCTACCGCAAAGCGATGGGTCTTTTCCGGGTTTAGGGAGAACCGTGATAGTGGCCGCTAGGGATTCGGCGCCGAAGTGACCCCCATCAGCGATCGCATTAAGGGCCTTTGTGAGCCACGGTAGGACTATTGATGAAAATGTTTTATAATAACCTGTGGAGAATCCGTCCGGGTCTGGTGCCTTCCCCCTCTTGGTTGCTTTTAGTGCTGCCGCCAATTCATCCTCCGTGATCTGGGTCTCCAGGTCGGTGGCTGTATCGGGTGAGATAGTTGGTCTGACTGTGTCGTGGAGGTAATCCCGTGTGCGCGCCATTATCGTTGCCGAGTGCGCCTGCGTGTTCTCCGCATCCAAGTTGTACAGGGATCGATAGAACAGCTGGAATTCCCCTGCAATATCCACCGGTAGGCCAGAGATCTCGCCTGAGGTGAGGTGTAACCTGCGAACCTGAGTGCGGGGCGTCTGGCCCCTCAGTAGACGGGCAAGGAATCGTCCCCCCTTATTAGCGTGGGTGTAAAAAAAATTTTTTAGAGCTTTGCAGGGAGCGGTGGTGGCGTTTCATAAGGAGCTCCTTTAGTTGTCGCCTGGTTTGCATCAAATCCCAATATGTCTCCAGGAGGAGTGATCTTTTATGCTGGGTTTCCAGCTCCGTGATTCGTCTATAGAGGTTAGCCATCTCCATCATCTCTGCCTTTTTCTTATGTATAGCTATGCGTATGAGCGTGCCCCGCAGGACGCTCTTGTGGGCTTCCCAGATCGTTATTGGAGATATGTCCGGTGACGCGTTATCTTGGAAATAGTGGGTCAGGGCTTGTGAAACTTGTTCCCGTGTGCCAGGGTCTAGGAGTAGGGTCTCGTTGAGTCTCCATGTCCACCTAGAAGGTCGAAAAAGTGGAGACTCGAGTTCCATTACCACGGGGCCGTGATCCGACCACGTCGCGGGCTCTGTCTTGGCC